TGTTCCTGTAATCCTGGCTGTCCTGCAGCCGCTGGGCTGGGGAGCAGAGCCGGGCGCTGCCCGGGTCTCCAGAGGGATCAGCCCACAGGGGGAAGGAATGCTCCATGGAGGAGGTGTGTGACCCTGCCTACCCGTGGGCTCACGACCTTGGCCTCCACGGAGCCTGGCCCTGCACGCAGCCTGCGGGAGAGGGCTCCCTCCGGGGGGGCAGTCCCTGGGGATCCTCTGGGATGTGTTCTTGCCATGTGGAGGGAAGTGGGGGGGGATCCCTGTGGGGCCTGCATGCTGCTGCGAACCAGCCCTGCTCTCCGTTGCAGTTCTTTGCCAGCATGCTGACCTACCCCTTCGTGCTGGTCTCCAACCTGATGGCTGTTAATAACTGCGGGTGAGTCTGCCACCAGCTGCCAGCCCACGCCTGGGTGACGTCGGTGATGGTCACATCCCTCCGTGCTGGATCAGCTCCCAAATCTACTTTGCCTGGATGGCAAAGAGGTCTCAAACTAGCTGTGAGGTTGATCACTTGTCAGTAGCGCTGGGCCGGTGGGGCATGGGACGTGTAGGGCAGGAGCCTGGTCTTGAAAGGGCCAGTTTGGAGGTCAGCCCAGTGTGGAGCTGCAGAGGGGATGGGTTCTACCTCACCAGCTCAGGCCTGGGTGGAAATAATTCGCTGTGGGTCTCCTTTCCCCAGGCTGGCTGGGGGCCTCCTCCCCTACGCACCCACCTACTCCTCCTGGCTGGACTGCTGGAGCCAGCTGCACAGGGAGGTAAGTGGCCAGAGCCGGGCGGTGCAGGGACGCTCCTGGCCGTGGAGAAGAGCTGGGTGGGAACCCTGTGGGGTCTGGGTGGGCCGCACTGGGGCTGGGGGCAGCCCTGACTCACCCAGCGATGGCCATCTCTCCTTTCCAGGGTAACATGAGCCGAGGGAACAGCCTGTTTTTCCGCAAGGTGCCCGCAGGGAAGCGATATGTGTGGGAGGAGAGGAGGTTTCGCTGAAGCTGGAGCTGAGTTGTGAAGCCAATGTTGGGCTCTGGAGACAAAGAATTATGAGAGAGTGGTGATTTCTATACAGTTTTTTAAAATCATTTCATGCTGAGACATGAAGGTGGAGGTATGAGAGTCTGTCATGGGGCCAGGGGCGTCCTGGAGCGGGGCTGGCAGATCTCCAGCATTCCCTCCCTGATCCAACCACTGTCCCAATGATTCCCTATTCCCTTATTGTTTATCTGACCCCTTTCCATCAGCCCAGTGCCTGCGAAGGCCCTGCTAAAGCTGCAGCCAGCCCGGCTGGGTGCCGGATCAGTCCCACAAGATGTCATTGCATCTGTCCTGTCCCCTTGGGAACTGGTGCCTGTGGCTTGTCATCTTTTTAGCCTTGAAAGCATGGATGTTGCCCAGGCTCCTCGTTAAATCCACTGGCAGAAATCCCTCTCCTGCTTCCCCCTGTTATGCCCTGGGAGCAGCTTCCTGGCCTCGGACCCAGTTAAGGCTGTTTTCACCAGAGGAAATTCCCATGTGAGAGAGCGGTGCCCGGAACCATCACCTCTGTACAAATAATGGCTTTTTTTAAAGACCGGCTGTACGAGCGGCACAGGCGCTGGGGAAGCAACAGCCCTGACTACCCCAGGGGCTGCCCGCAGCCCGAGCAGGAACGGAAGCCGCTTGTTAAT